TTGTATTGTATTAATATTCCATGCATGGAGTGTTTGGGGTATGTTGAGAATGTGGCAAACCCAAGAAATATATTCTTGATACTGGGCCTGACTTTTCCCTGTCAATGTCTGAAGGCAATCCAAGCCCGCTGCTCATCTCTTCCAAAAGAACAATCTACTCCAAGACCTTGAAGGATCCAGTGCCCTTCTTCTGTCCGGGCCCTTCTGACATGCAACGCCGGTGCCTATCCTGAAGCATATCCGCGCATATCCTGAAGCTCCTGGATCCAAAAAAGACATCTCGCCACACCTTTCAGGCTGACTCCAATACACCCATCAGACTGACCCGGCTTGCACCCTGAACACATCCGGTGCAAACACTCCACAAGACTCGTATCTGTATATAATACCTATTGATTTGAGGGGTCAATTGATCGGCATGACATGGAGTGTTGTTTCTGGTGGTTGTCCGGCGCCGGTCCGCCTCTCGTGGACCCGGCCACCGTCTCACGCCACCGCCCAGTACGCCCACCGCCCCTCCCCGGCACCCCGGACCGGGGGCCTCGTGGAATCCGACGTCTCGTCATGGGCTCGGACCATGGCGGGCGGTGGAGTCATTTGATCTGGACCATCGGGCGGAAAGAAGGTTGGAGCTTGTCGAAAGACCGTGGGGAGCCCAATGAAACCTAGGGCTCCAGTCGTACCTTCTCAGAAGGTGGGACTGGGGAGGGTTTAGAGGGTACTTGGAGCCCTAGAGAAGAGATGGCGACTGCATTCACAGTTGGCAGCCGGCTGCTGCTGGCCCCTATAGGCCGCCCATCCAGACTGTAGGGTCCCAGCTCAGGTCTTTCAACCTCTCTTGGCTCTGCGGATTTCTAGTACTTGTTGATATCCCAAATGCATCCAAATGCTCCATGATTCAGAAGAGTATACCAACATTGACCCGGAGTTTTTTCACCGCCCGATGGAGTGAAATACGGCAGCCCCACGGAGTGTCTGGGGGGGAGTGATTTATGGTTGTTTCATTCTACTCATCAGAATTCCTTTTCATAAACTTGAAGATAATAAGGATATATAAGAATGGATAAAATCCCTTAATCTTCCAACAAACGTTGAATCTAAAGATCCAAATAATCCAAATATATAATATACTTCTTGCACAGGCCGGGACTGTCAACATCCCAAGCTGACTATGACATTTCCCCGAGGCCATCGGGATGAAGCAACACTGTTCCGACACAAATATCAGTCTGAGTAACCTCTATCTAGTTTGGTACATCGACTAGGCCTTACACTCCTCAGCCCAGGATCGTCATCCCTTGTTTTGTGGGGTCTGCTTTCACTGGGTCAAAGTAGCCGTGTCTCGGGCCAAACACAACACGGGATTTGGATCTCGATTTGCATGAGCACCTTCTCTATCAACGACTGGAACCTGGACCCTGGGCTTTGAGGGTCCTTGATTCCAGAAAGTGGCTCAGTATGCTGGAGCCAGGAAGCAGAACGTCTCCGAGGCTCTTGTGAATCACGAAGTGCACGAGTTTAAGACAAACAAATAATATGTCTTTCTGGTCAGCACTGATGCATCGACCGGGGTGGGTCTGACGAATGGAGCTCCAAACACAGCCTGTTGACTCTTGATCCATACAACCATATAAAACCCCCAAAGGAAAAGGACTTCCAATTCAACTGCGGACCAGGGATTGTGTGGACATCTCGAGACCAGCGTCGAGTCTAGTCTTCCGATCCTGCACTGATCCCCGGATGCTGGGAGGATCCCGCCACATGGCTGGGAGGATCCCGCCACATGGCTTGTGGGTCAAAACCCATTTGCACGATGAGATACCTAATACCAGGACCTTCAGCTGCAGTGACCCGAGATGATCTCCCAGGAGGTTCGGTCACCTCTTCGAGAGGTAGTATACCTAAGGTCCTGGTATCGGTATATCATCGTTTGACTGGCTTGAAACCGGGTTCAAAGCCTTGATACTACCAGGTCGGTCCTAAGGTCCTAAGGCCCTGACCCTTCTCAACGATCTTGAATGGCTTGAAAGCGTGTGTTACCACTAAGCTCGGTCTCAACTGGTCTGGTCGCCGAAGCGACCCGAACGCCTCCGAGCCTCAAACCTGGCACGGCGGTACGGCGGTAAACGGCGGCTGTACGGCGTTCCAACAGATTCCAGGTACCAGGAGTCACGTTCGACGGGGTGCCGAACTTGGAGGTTAGGGGTGCCCGTTATCTATACTCACTTACGGACCAAACACCACCCCTTTGTGACTCCAGGTATATCAATCTTCTTCTTGGCACACATGGCATGACTGCAACACGGTGAGCGTATGGCTAGCGACTCGTACGTGATGATTTCTCCTCAGTGGGCTTCTCCTTCCTCAAAGGGACGGGGGACTCCATGACAACTCATCCGGTCCCAGCCTCTCCCGGTGACTGATCTGCGTGGGCTGCGGATTTCCATGGCCATAACCATCAACCGATCTCCCAGCCTTTACTTCGAGTCCTTGACCCGGCGGCTTCTCAAACCGCCCCACCCTCCCGAGCGACCACTTTTCCCGCCATACTATGGCTTCCGCATTGACACGCCTCGTCCTATTAGCACAGCTACCAGCTGTCAGCTACAGGTTCGCAGTGAGAGCCCAGAAGCGCATGCGCTGCGCACTCGCTGCGCATGCGAACTGCAAGGCGAGTGGGTTCTTTCCGTCATTGGAGTTCTTGGTTCATGCCCATGTGACCATGTTCCGTGACTTCCAAAAGCAAAAGGCTCCATCAGGTTTCGAGGAACAAGTACGACTCATATCTCTGGCTTTGAGCGACCTGGAATCCGCAGGAGCAGTCACTGTTCTTCTGGCATTTCTTCATCCGATCCCACTCGGGGCGTCACGGGGGGAAGATCGCGGGCGTTTGTCTTGCGGCGTTCCGCGTCGGTTGAATTCGCGTTCGAACATCGGAGGTCGCACGACTGCGAGAGCTCGCTGGCGCACGCACCGGAGGTCTCAAACACATGCATGTGATCAATCCCCAGACACTCCATGGGACTGCCAAATACGCCTACATTGGGGTGGTTTGGGGGGGTCAATTGATCGGAATATATGGCATATATTATGCAGTGTCTGGGAATATAACAAATATGGCCTATTAAATGGTGGTTTTGGTGGTGAACGTCGGCCACTAGTGATGCCGGACCGTTTTCAGCTGCGGACACGGGATCCCGCTGCGATTTGCTGTCGAACTCGGGAAACATCACATCTCGTACCTATAGGTGTTGGGGAGGACTTCACCCGTGGTGTTCGGGAGTCCGGGCTTTGGACCTGAACCACACATCGCCCTTCCATTCATTTGCGGGTTGAGACTTCGGATGGCGACACTCATGGCGAAATCGATCTATCTCTCTCCGATCAAAGGAGTGTCCATTATTGTCGGATTTTCCTCTTTCTATATCTAACCTCGAATGCCCCACACGTACTGGGCAGGTTCACAAGCGAGAGGCAAACCGTTAACACCCAAGTTAGCACACCTGTCGAACACCTACAGTACCCATCGAAACACTTCAAGGTACGTATACATGTGTTGAAAACCGGTTTCCATATGAGGTACGGCCAAATATTTGTTGTGTGCTGCTGTCCGCGAATGAATGCAACGTAGTTGTCGCACATGTTGAATCCACTTCATGTGTCCATCTGTCTCTTTGAGGACCTCTGAAGGTTCCTCCGGCCAGCCGTGGGCATCGGTGATCCTCCGATGTAGATCGGTATAGACGTGCAAATGGGTCACGGGACGTGCAGCAGAGGTACCACGGAAGGTGTTGGGAGGGTTCCCAAATAGATACCCATCAAACAGGACCCGCGGCCTCCACTGAGAAGGGTCCATTTCTTGCGTCTTTTTTGATGCCAAAAACGACCTTCCGCAGGACCTCCTTTATACCCAAGGATGGCGATCTGATCGCTGCTTCGAGCATCATCTGCGTATGGGCCCGTGGACGGACGGGATAGCCGGGGGGGACATGGGAGAACGGGATCAAACCAGGCTTGATGTCGGAGGTGTTACTACCAATCGAATGTTGGTTTCTTGAAACAATCCCATCTACAATCCCATCTACTGGATGAGGTTTTGAAGGCCCTTTGTTCAATTGTGTTTGGGTTCTAATTTCGATTTGTTTAGGTCCCTGTTCGATTTCCAACCCCTCAACCCTAAACCTGCTCCCTAAAGCTAGCGACGTACCGCTGCTGGGAGTAGATTTTAAAAAATATAGCATAACACCTTTGGGACCTACGACGGTAGCATTCGATGCTCCTACTCTCTCTCACTCCCAAAAGAAGATGAGAAACCCTCTGCAGTGGGAAAAAAGATCGGCGAGCCAACCCTGCTTGAAGAACGCACCCCACCCCAGACAAAACGAGCCACTGGGAAAGACTCACCACGATGCCGGCAAAGATCGAGGCAACTGAGACACGTGAGTGTCATCGAGAAGTCAATGCTCAGGGTTTTCCAGAAGGTCGTTTGGAACCATAGGGACCTTCTGGTTTTCCAGGGGTTCCGTACTCGTTCCAGAAGTGTCGTCATAAGGTTGTAACTCCTTTGTCAGAAGGTTGTGAGACTCAGTTTGATGTCGAAAACGACCAGCAGGGTCGCACCTTCACAGGAAGTATAGTTGAAATATGTGGACACCATCCCGTTTGGGCTCCAGGTACCTCCTCAGAAGGTGTTTGGACCCTCCAATCCCACCCTCCTGAGAAGGTACTTGGAGCCCTAGGGCATAGGGTTGAATCCTTTTTGCTTAATAACAACCCGTCTGCTTCATCTGCCTCATCTGCGGACTCGCGAGAGTCTTCTCATTGTGGCGCAAAGAATTCAAAGAGTTCCTGGTAGATCTATCTCCGGAAGGCTTGGCAACCTAAGATTGGTTCAGCAACTTTCCAGTCGCAGATGTGGCTGAACAAATCTGCGCGGGACCTTGGGCTCCTCCAGCAACAAAAATATCTATTATTTCTGTTCCGCCTCACTATTTCCTCACTCCTCACTTTCAGTGGCTTCACTGGTGGGCCATCCTTCTGAGATAGTCTGAGCTCATTACGACAGCCAACTGCCGCGCGCTGCGGTGGCCGCGGCCTGTTTTGCGGGTCCTGGCCACGTGGTGCGCTGCCCGTGCGTTCGGATGATGAAAAGGCCGCTGTGACTTCAAAGCGCTCCCGGCGTGGAATCATCCACAGAAAAAAACACCGGGCAGGACCATAGCCCACACACTCCATGCCGAGAAACGGCCAGGGGTCAATGGATCGGCATTGGCATATATGGCAGTCCCATGTGTCGTGTCTGGGTAGTATCATAGTTTGATCTGGCAGAGATGATGATCTCAGAACCCCCCCAAAAAAGGATATGCAGAAGCATATGATTGCTGAACGTTTGAATATGTGTTTTTTTGCATGGTTGGAAGGGCAAGGGCTCAACCAACTTGATGTGTTTTCTGCGTGTTCGACGCTAGTTAGGCTGTCTCCGGCAATCATGTTTGCCGAGGAGATTGTTTTGGAAGGCCCTAAACTTGGCATTCCTTGGTGCCTATCTGTTATTGTATTTGCTGTAGTCACAATGTTTATGCATCAGCTAAATGTTGTAGTAGATGGTCTAATACAAAGTGAAGTGAACCAATTGTGTTTGGACTTATCAACATGAGCCATCTAGCTCGTGTTGTTCGCAGTTTTTTCATGCCATAAATCATCAGAAATACCCAGACACTCCATGTATGCCATATATGCCTACACCTACATTGACCCCCAAAACCATCCAAAACCACCCCTGGCCGTTTCTCGGCAATCCGTCCTGGCAGCGAGGTCGTGTCCTTTGTATAGAGTTGCCACACGTTGCCACCACTCGGCCCATCGACCCAGTCGGTCGGTCGCGCTCCGAGCTCATCGACCCATTGTGACACCACCGGTCCTGGTCCTCACGGCGTCCGGCTCCAGATGCGCCCCTGAGAAGCCCCGGAGGGGGGGCGGGGCCGGCGCCGCCTCAGCTATGCGCAGCTGGGCCGACAGCTTGGCCGATGTGGGAATCAATCATTGCTTCAAACGTATTTAAAAGATGTTAAAAGTATACGTTGTAAAGCTGACATAAGCTGACCATCCAGTAGTTTGATGCAGTTTGCCATCTTTGCAAAGAGTTCCAATCTCAACAGGTTTGGGCTGCTCAGGAGTCCAACCAGAATCCAAGACAGTATGCCGACGAGGGCCCGTTCCCGGAAGCGAGACCCGAAGAGCATTGGCTGTGGGCTCATGGCATGCGGAGCCTCTAAACCACCCTGTTAGGTTGACCATGTCTAGTACGATGTGACGTAGTCTATTCGGTTCATTCTCTCTGATGAACCAGGGTTGCGGGGTTTTGACTCACAGCCCTATGACTTCTGAACCACTCTCGCTGCATCCGCGCCCCGCCCAAAATGCAACCTGATGGCAATTGGAGCCGAGTCATCACCAGGGCCACCTGGAGTCCAAAAGCTAAGAGAGGCCGGGACAAATCTGTCGCTGTGGTGCTGTACTGGTCGGACCCCACCCTATTCACTGTGGAATATTACGCTTATGGATGAGCATGGTGTTAACTCGTGGCCCGTCTTGCTGGCATAGGGTTCCCCAACCGCCACCTTCAGCAGAGCAATCAACATGTTCCCTCTCTCCATGCTTGGATTCTTTTCGATTTCTGTCCCTCTCGTACTCTCGTCCGTTGCATCTTCATCTTCACCAAGCTCCATCTCTACAAAACCTTACACACGGGAAAAAAAATACATCAGCAGCTGTGGGCTGTTAGTACACGTGAGTACTCAGTCAACAGCTCTTAGGCCTTTTTGGGATCTTCCCCGCCCAAAATCGGCATCACAGTCGACGCCACCTCGTGCCACCTCCGACATCGCAACCATCGTCCCTTACCAAGAGAGGTCAAGTGACCGTAAATAGGACCCGTCACCTGGGATACCTATGGGATAGTCTATAGGGTCATTCAACCTCTTCTGGTAAGCCCCTTAAGCCACCTCGCACCATCGGCAGACGCATGTCGTTCATCGCTCCATCTGCACCGTTCAATCGACCGCGACATGGAATCGTTCGTCGCCCGACTCCGACCGAGTCTCACCAAGTGAGAAGTCGGAAACAACGATCCACAGAGCACTGCAAGAAGGCCGTACCACATCGTAGAACTCTCCGAATTCATAGAACCCCAATCAACTCTGCTTTGATCGAAGATGATCGAAGTATAGCATTTGCGGGAGAAAAAGTGCAGAAGCTCAACACATCTGTAGACACATCCAGCTCCTCACTCCCTGTGCCTCTCCCTTTCCACCCCTCAAACCACGAGCACGTGTGCTCTTCAGTCTCTCGAAGACCGCTCTGAAGGCGACCACTACCCCGCCCTCCAAGCCGCGCTGCACCACGCCACCACGGGTCGCCCGCCCACGACGTCCGTCGTCCGTCGTCCGCCTTTAGTGAACTTCTGGTAGACCGCCTTGGCCCTGGGGTAGCCGGACGTCTGGGCTTGCTCAATGCGCTCCAGCGTCTCCTTCCTGGCGGATCGCTGGTGCGGGTCGTCGCTCGTGTGGCGGGGCCGGGGCCAGCCGTTTTCGCTCGTGGACGTAGGGGATGGTTCGGTGGGTGTCGACCTGTGATGTGAACCAGATTCGATGGAATTCGCTTTGTTGGATGAATTCCTCCGCTATAGGTGAATGTCGGGAACCCACTCCTATTGAGACTATAGAGTCCTTCTCTTGGATGATTTGGAAGCAACAAACTCGCTATATAAAAGGATACATCTGAAGTTTGAAAATACGATGGTTCACATTTCAGCGATGGTCTTTTCAACCAGAAAAGCCATCAAGCCATCGTCACGGACTCTCCACATGGAGCGGAGCTCTTCTGACAGAGCGAGCTGCTCTCAGGTGTGACCGGGCGGAGATCAAAAACAAAGAGACTTTTTAAGACTCATCCAGCTGAAGAGAGGTCTCCGATGAAAATCAGCAGGATAACTTCCCAATTTGGACAAATGGTACACCATCTATGTCGCCATATGTCACTCACCATATGTCACCATGGACTCAACATGGTCGTAGAAGCAGTGAGCTCTCTCTCTCTCTCTCTCTCTGAAATCAGCAGCGTGCCATGCGTTTCTTCTTCTCCTTTTTGAGCACTTCCACCCCGCAATCCCAATTCCTCAGACCACCAACAGAGGTTGAATGACCCTATAGACTATCCCATAGGTATCCCAGGTGACGGGTCCTATTTACGGTGACTTGACCTCTGTTGGCAGGCCCTATAGGCCTATAGCCGCTATAGCCTATAGGCCATCAAAGGCTCAGCCAGGTCCAGGTTCGTCTTACTCGGAGATGACCAGGACGGTCGTGTCCGTTGCTCAACGCCCGTGTGTCGGGCCTGGGACCTAGGTGTGTTACTACCAACAGGTGCCTCAAATTGAATTCTTTCAAATCAGCCTTTCAAAGAAATGGATATATCATATGCAGCAGTTTTCTGGGATAGCTATTGGATTTTTAGTATATATACCATACGTTCATGCCACCCCAAAACGCCTTGGGCCCGGTCTCTCCGTCCACCTCTCCACCTCTTCCGGCCGGGTGTCTCCGCGTCTGGCTTCAGCGTGAGCCAATAGCGCAGTCGATCGCCCACCACTTGGCTGTCCACCTCAGAGCGACGGCGCTCGGAACCCCTGCATGGGCATGGCGCATCAGTCCGAAGTGACCCAGTGAAGCCTGAACGGTCCCTGAACACCTCCGTAACAGTGTTTTGTATGACAAAACTGCAAAGACCTCTATAGGGAATTGAAACCATAAGTCTGAAATCAAGTCTGAAATCATGATGAACATCCTGCGCAATCTCCTGGCACCCCATCGAATCTGGAGACCCTATATGTCAACAGTCTGGAGATTCTGTACATCTCAAGTACCCTGTTTTGACCACTCATCAAGGTACTGAAGTCATAGGAAGAGGCTGCAGATGGCTGCAACAGCGGAAATTACCCAATCATCATGCCCTGGGGCTGGAGCCTGCTTCGAAACCTGAAACGCTCTTCAATGGCAGCTCCAAGCACTGTAGGAAAGGTTGAGCAAACATGAGACATTTATATACATTTATACTCCCCAACATGTCCGACCAGCCTTCGAACGATCTTCAAAAATGGCGTCAAACGGTGTTCTTTCACCGGAACGTTCGCCTCTCATGGCTCCATTCCTTCGATCCCAAACAGGTCGCATCAGGTCGAAGGGCGAGTCACCCAAAACGAAGCAGTTCGCCTACGCGAGCCGCGAACCGAGTCTTCGAGCCACTGTGACCATCTGCGGACGCCCATTGAGATCTCCCAGCAGATCCTGCGGAGGTACCGGAGGTACCGCCACGGGCGTCACTTGCGCCGGTGACATCGGTGTGGGTGGAACATATATTTGTCTCGTGGAGTGAACTCACTTGAAAAGTCTGTTGATGTTGCCTGGAATTTCAAGAGAAACAGCAACTTTTATGATTCACAAACTAACAAGACTACGAGCTAAGGAAGTTTGAAGCATCCATCCGGCTACAACATCATCTTCCAAACCCGCCTTCTGTACCAATCTGTACCCTTCGCGGCCCTTCGCAAAAAGGCAAGAGCTAGAAAAAAAGGATATTAAAGGCGTTCAACTCTTACGTACAGCCTCGTCATTCTAACAACCACCGCCACAACAACAACGACAACTCCAACTCTCTGATGTCCGCTTCAGCAGCTCCCCATCTCACCCCCTCTTCACGCCGACCCCGCTTTACTTCCGTGGACCATGCCGCTCACCGCACCTGTCGTCTCTGTATACTCCCCGCGGACCGCAGGCGCGTCGTACCTCCGGCCTGCTCGGCCGCCTCGCGGAGGTCGCAGAGCCAGGGCCCCTTCAACTTGGACAGCTTCAAACCCAAGTCCAACTCCTCAGCGCCGCGGCGGTCTCGGAGCCGGCGGAGCCCGTCGGTGTCGAGCTGCAGTGGAAAACGTACCCAGACGGTCAACGTCAAGCACAGCAGCCTGAAGTTGTGTTCTTTCCTGTGACAGTCAAGCATGTTACTTGGAATTAAACAAATTGGCAGACATTACAGCAGACCAGGTGAGGTTGGAGGTAATGGAATCAGTCGGCATGCAATATAAGACTTATAGTAAGACATGTTATAAATATATATATTATCGATAGATACTTCTGTTGCCACTCACTACACCCAGCAGAAACTCAGGAGATCACTCGCTGTGTCATCCCCGTCTTTTGACTCCCACCAGTAGCGATGGGATCATGTTCTTGTGATTTCTTGTGCATCCTTGCGCCCCTCTTTCCCATCGGGTCCAGGTATGACTTTGTACTTCCAGAGCATGGTCGAACTGCCTGGGGGGCCAGAGCATGAAAGGGATGGACCAGGACGCTTAGGGACTAGGACCCGCTTGACCCGCCAACCTTAGCACATCCAAAGCGCACCCTCCAGTAGCTTGGACTGGCTCACCGGCAGTGGCGCGGGCTTTGGAGCCTCGGACGCGTGACGCAGCGGAATCCACGGGCATCGCGGCATCCCGGTGGGGTCCAGGACATCGGATTCCGAAGATGTCAGATATTAGGGTGGGAAGGCCCGAAGCTAGCATCGAGTCTGGCGGTTTTTGGATGAGATGTCTGCTTTGGGCGGGTGCATCCGCGGATGGGGTTTTGGTTGGGGGCGCGACCACAGGTCGTTGCTCGCTCTGCCGCGACTTAAGGGATCGGTCCCAGCGTCTTGCGGGGCACCGTCGGGGCTCGTCCAAGTCTTTTTGCGGGGGTTCGAACAGAAGGAAACCGTCCAAACGGGTGATCTGGTGGAAGATATTGGGTGAAAAGAACAGACCTTCCATGTCAGGCCAAGGATGTCAGAGCCAAATATAGAGGATGAAAAGATCTTCACATGACCTATACCCTACCGGGTCTTTGATGTCTTCTTTTCACAACAAGAACAAGTTCGTTCTGCTCTGGCTTCACAACGACTCTGCGCTTCATCAGTCCTTCCGGCAGTCTCTCTGCACCCAACGTCCGAGAACGTCCCTTCCACCGACGACCAGGGGCGTGTTGCGCCGCCAGGAGGGTCGCGCGGTCCGCTTGGCGGCAACGGCTTTCAAAGGCGCCCGTGGGGTCCAACCTGTGCACGGCTGCCGGCAGAAAACAGGGAGGGCTTTCAGACCATGTTTGACACCACTTTTGCCCACCAAGTTGAGGCCTATAGCACGTTTTTCTCCAAAGATGAAACATATTGATTAAGCAACCAAAGAAGGAGAACTACATAGTTATGTTGGGCGATGGCAGCCATACATGGCCAACCATCAAATAGTCTTTTTTGTGAAAAAAAGGTGAAAAAAAAAGCAAAACAAAAGCAAATGAAAATGCAAAAACAAAGCAAAAACAAAGCAAAACAAAAAGCGAAAAAAAGGCGAAAAAAAAGCGACACTAAAGCGAAAAAAATGCGAAAATAAAGCGAAAAAAAAAGTGCAAAAAACGCGACAAATATGTTTTTGCTGTACCCTCCTAGGAAAAAAAGCGAAAAAAGCGAAAAAAATGTGAAAATAAAGCGAAAAAAAGGTGAAAAAAAGCGACAAATACGCACAGCTACATTTGTTTGCTTTTTTGTTTGCTTTGCCTTTTGCTTTTTTTTGCTTTGTTTTTGCTTTATAAAACTATTTTGGCTCCTTGTATCTATGGCTGGCGTGCCCGACATAACTACATAAAACTGCACCAAGCATCAGGCCTGGTTAAGACTTAAAGCATGACCCCCAAAAAAGACATAGGTGTGAGAGCCAAGAACGGACCGTCAAATTCAATGCGAACTACAGCTACAGGCTACAGTATCTAAAATTATGGGTTGAAAAAATGCTTGTACGCAAACATCATTGAACATCAATGGCGTGTTGGAATCCTAGGGTAGGGGTTGACACGATGTCACCCCCAGTTGACAGGTCATGTCTAAGAGCATGTGCTTTTGCCACTCTTCCAGGCTGGGCGTCCGGCTGTTCGTGGCCGTTTGTGGAGTAGAGTTGGTCAGGGGGGCCATTGGTTTTCTTCGACCAGAGCTCCAAGTGACTAAGATGATTATCGTGTCAGAAGGATTACACCTGACCGTGTACAGGTGCTTGCGTGACCCCAGTGACTCTCGAAAAGTAAGCACCTTTGACGCAACATATAGGGCCCTGATGGGACCCCCATATGGTCAGTCGTTTCAGGTGTTTGTCGTCTTTGGAACCACATGGTGACCAGCGAACGTTCACGATTTCACTGGATCCCCTGGCCATTCTCAGGAGACGACATGGAAGGGGTGCACCATCCAGACGGACACGGTGCTCTCGTCAAGCAATGAGGTCAGGTTCCCACTCGTCGTACTCCAATGTCTTCTTCGTGAACTGGCCCTCTTGGAGTCCCTCTTTGTGGCCCTTGACGTGTCAGGCCACCCTGAAGACCTCAGTCACCCTGAAGAATCAGGTCACGAACGGGAGAAGGGCCGTCTCAAGCCTTCTGGGGTCTGTCCTACAGTGCTCAGACCCCTTCTTGACCCCTTCCTCGACCCAAGAGGAACACTGATGAAGCATGTCAAGCAACTTCTCGAAGGCTTCCTCACAAAGGCTCAGCTCCTCCTTCTTCATGCGTAGCTGGGCTTTGAGCTCCTCCGAACCTGCACATGTTTGGCACGTCCACGCACGGAAGAGGTGAAGGCGTACAGGGGCGCGAACGATCTCCCGGAGTATAGCCGCCCAAAGAAGCCTTCCAAGACCTCAACAAAAAAGCAAAAAGACCTGAATTGTACCCGGACCCGACTCGTTCGGGGTGTCTAGCCCCAAACCGCCGTGATTCGGGGTGTCCATTTACCACGGCTGAGGGTCCTGTTCGAAGCTTCGGGATTCAGCCTCCCTGTCGGTGGTGAGAATCGGATCTTCATGGCAGAAATCGAGCTTCGACCGTCCAAAACCCACCCCAAACAAGCCATGTCTGGCCTCCGCCTACATATGCCAATCAATTGACCTCTCAAACCACCTCAATGATCCTCAATGTATGGAAATATACCATACATGGAGTGTCTGGGCACCCCAAACAACCCTGTCAGAAGGTACGACTGGAGCCCGCCCGGACGCACTGGGGCCAAGCACCCCCCCCGCTTTGGAAGGCTCATTTGGGTGAGGTGCAGGCTTGAAGTTCAGTTCAGAAATCGAAAGTGTTGGTTAAAGCATGTTAAAGCAAAACTCTTGGACATGTTTGGGCTGAAATGACATGGGATGACTATTGCATATTCACTCGGTCGGTCAGTCAGTCAGTCAGTCAGTCGGTCAGCGGCGCGCGCGCGCGCGCGCGTGAACACGAAAACTTCCTGAAGTGGTTGAACCCTCCCAATCTACCTGGAGTTACACGCTGCAACAGCACATCAACGCTTTCCTATCTTTCTTTCCTCCTCCCCTTGAGCTCCCACGCCTGACAACATCTCCTTAAGCTCCTGCGCATGGTCCATCAGCTGACGAATCCACTGTGCCATCTCTGAGTGCATGTCATTCAACAGCTTCCCCTGTCCAACCGCACACGACCGCGGAAGAAAAACAACCGGACACATGTAGCAGGGAGTGATAGGGGCTTTTTCTTGGTCGCGGCCTTCAGCTAAGAAGGTGAGAATGTGTGACTCCCCTCAGTAATGGTTCTATACGATAATATAATATTATATAGGTATCATTTATGTCTTTCAACCTCTTGCGTAATCAGTATAGGGACAAGTTGGATGAGTTCATAAACATGGAGTCCGGACATCAAATGAATCACCAGACAGGACACAATGGTGGCTACACCCAATGGTCTACATGAAAACCGCCCAAGACCAGGACGGAGTGCAGTCCCATTGGTCGCGTCTGGGCAGTAACTTGGTCGCCCATCGATGTCATCCCTAGCCTTGAAAGACCATCAAAAGAACAGTTGACCTGGTATGGTAGTCTAAAATCCTTGGTGAAACAATGGTTGTTTGGTAAAGACCGTCAAAAATTAAGTTGGAATCCCAGGGTCATGCCACGCCCTCGCACTCGCAGCACCTACCACCGAGCTCCGACGCCACCGCGCCTGCAGAAAGGCATAGACGTCATAGTTCAAAGCTCCCTCCAGCTGGAGGACAATCATTCCTGCCATCAGGGTGAGACATGAGACGTCCAACGGCAACATCACCAACCAGCACCACGCTTCCTGAACCAGGTGGTGTCGCTGGAAAAGAGATAGTCAGGGGGGTCTAGTGGTACTGGAAGTGAAAAATGTCTCTCTTTTTAGGCCGAAGTTCCCCTTGGATTTGCTGGTGTTTGCCACGTCTTGCTTGGATTTGCTGTCGTTCTTGCCACGAACAGCGGAGACCGTCTGCTGTCCTTTCAGCTGCAAGAAGATGCGCTCTGCGCAGTCGTTCAGCCGCTTCTCATCGACGCTCCTCGAAAAACCGCTTCGCCAAACCCGCATTCATTGCGCTACAGCGTGTTTTCATCCAAATGCTGAAACTGGTGGCGCCAATGATGGCCTACAACTTGGCCTGCATTCACCACCCAAATCCTCCAGTCATGTATATCCCTAGCGCTCCAAGTACCTCCTCAAATGTTGTTTGGACCCTCTAAACACCAGTCCCACCTTCTCAGAAGGGGTAGGATTTGGCGCGTCCTGGATAACTCTCATGGACCCCCTTGGAAGAGTGGTTTTCCACCAAGCAGTCCGCGTCTGAGATCGATCGATGTCCCTCGGACCGATCTCGATCGAAGGCGCCGTCCACGCAGACCTTTCGTCGTTTCCGAGTCGTTTTCTTGGACATTCTTCGACCAAGGCACACCCAGCCAGGCTGGGTGTGTAGTGGAAGAGGGAGACCCCGCATAAAGAGTCCCCTTGTGGAAAGTATGGATCAGTTTACCCATTGGCTGGGGGTCTCCCAAATACACTCCCAGTGTGGTTCTGGGATTTTTCCAGCATGTTTCAACTATATATACACTGCTCCCATCAAATATGCCAAGTTCGGCTGAAATGTTGCATGGTTGGCAGATGTTGCCCATGTATGTTACATATGCCCACATTGGGGTGGTTTGAGGGGTCAATTGATCGGCATGTATGGCAGTCCCATGGAGTGTTTGCGATAGGGCGTGGCAAATCTTCAACCCGAGGCGCCGATACTCCCCAAAGGGCAAGTCATCGCAGCCGCCTTCCACGAAATCGATGACGTTGAACCTGCGCGCATGCGACTGACATGGAAGGTCCGAGTGGTACCAGTGGGTCCTATTGGTTGTTCGCTTGGGGGTATCCCTTAGATATCCTTATATCATATATATCCCATTCCCAGTAACAGTGGATGATTATGGTTTGTAAAGACCTTCTCAAAAATTTCAACTCAGTGCTGATGAGATAATCTTTTGCAGACTGTTACTGGTGGGTATCCCCCACTATTCATCCACCAACCAAAAGTAAAAGAATGTAAGAGGCCATCTATGGTCACTTTACCGTTGCCCGTCCGCTTTGAGGTTCACTGGTCAGTCACAAGAGGACTGATACAGACGGATGGTTGGGAACATGAACCATGGCAGTCTTTGGAGAAGGGCCACGAAACAGCTTTCTGTGGCCAATTGTATGTGTAAATCCCGCCATCCTTCCCGATGGCTCTTGCCGCATCGGCAGCGCGACCTCCGGAGCTCAGTACAACCGCGGGAGACCGCCGAGCTCCGCCGACCACGCCTCCCTTTCCAAGTCTCGACGGTCTTCTGCACCTCCTTGACCGCCTCTCGATGCTTACCCACACGCTCAGGCACATCACTGGCGTTCGCCTCAACCCGCTCCGGACTCGAGTCCTGAGCCGCAAACGGGACTTCGGACGTTAGCTGGCACCCAGCTCAGAGTGGTCCCCAGTCTTGGTGAATCACTACAAGTTCGGGGGGTTACGGCGGTTAGGGCCTCATCAAGACTTGAATAAGGATGTATAGAGTGATTCATGCAGGATCAGACTTGATCAGACTACTGTTCGGTAGGTCCTCATCCTCCAACAACCTACAACCTACAACCTGATCAGGTTGTTGGAAGTCTTCCGCAGCCCCTCACAGCGCGATCCCGGATCCCAAACTTGTGGATATGTAAGGATCCTTTGGTCGTTTTCTAGGGGAGATCCCGATCCCTGTCGGTGCTTGGGTCATTTTCACCAGTTTTAGTCTCTGCCGAACTGGGCGGGTTTTATTGACAAATTCTGCAGAAATCCTGCCAAGCCTTCACCTCTGGATGCCTATAGGGTGAGACTTCAGTGCCTGGCAGATTCCACTGATGGAGAGGTCATAGATCCAGAGTTGGAAGATCCAGGGATGTACAGCTCCAATCAGGCAGCCTCCCCCTCGAAAGTCCCCACATGATGGCCTATGTGACTGGTGGTTTGTGAGTGGCTTTTCATGCAGGCCATTGGGTGGCGCCACCATGGATCGCCTGGGAATGTCTGGATCGATGTTGGAGTTTCGTGAAGACAATTCTTCAAAAACGATCCCACACACGCCGCTGGGCCCAGCCTGGGCCTGGCTCTTTGGGGTAATGCCCAGCAGGGAGATCAACCTAAGCTCGCCGCCAACGGACGGGCGGGCCAAAAATAGCGACCATGAGCAACAACGCTGGCGCCAGGGGTGGATGGCACCTGCCCCGTTGTGGTCGTTGTCCAGAAACGTTCAGAGTCAGGACCCTCAGTTCCTGACCGACGTGCACATGGCCGACGTTCAACGTGGACCAACTGGCGTACAGAGTCACAAAGGACCAACCTCAGGACTTGTTGACCGTCAGTGACAGAGGATCCATGAGCGGAAACATCACGCGACTATCACGCCTGGCTGAAACACATGCGTGTGTTTCTGTTGACCAACCAAACCCAAAGCTCAAAGGTCCGGGACGTTGACTCAGTTCTATAGAACTTGGGTTGCGCACCTGGCAAAGGCCCAAAAGGTTCAGAGGGTGCACCCTGGACCTGCAGTTTTCCTGGTTGCCAATCTTACTTGGATGTGGCTCTCAGAATGATTCGACAAGACCCGCAAACCGAACTATGCCAGCTTCTGTGACCGAACAACTTGGAGTCCCTGCTGGTGACCAGGTCTGTGATGGTCTGTGTGTGTGATCTGAAACCCCGGGTGACTCAAGTCCGGTCACTTTGAACCACCAGGTGCGTTCATTGGATCTGCTGCAACAACACCAAGACAGGCGAGAAGACTGCAAGACCATCGACTCAGCAACATCTGTCTCGCCCGCAACACTCATGTCCCAGACACGACACTCCATTGGGACTCCGGACTTCGCCCGATGGACGGAATCCCACTGGATCGGACTGAATCCCAAAGGAGTTCATGCCATCCGGCGGGGCTCTGAAGGTGTTTTGGGTCGGTTTAGGAGTCTGAAGGGTCCAGAAAACCTTCTCAGGTGGGGATGAAACACAAATGGACCCCCTCTTCCAATCCCTTCAAGATCCGTCCATGTTCATGACGTTAGCGAAACGAGCTGCCGTGTGTTGAGGTCTGCCGGCGCGCAAGCAGTGGTCTGATTGATGAGCCGCTGCAAGAACTGGTTGGCTTGTGAGAGCTGTTGCTCCAAAATCTCCTGTCTGAAGAGAGGTTTGGGCTGTTTTCCGCCTTTCGGGAACTTCCCGAAGAGAAAGGCAACATTGGGTCTGTCCCGTTCCTGGGCCCAGTGGATGACAAGGAAAGAACATGCCTTTCGAAAACAACATCGGTGATGACCTTTTATCGACCATTATTGACCCAGTGGGACACATGCTATGTTTTACAATAAGATGTTTTACAGTAACCAAACTTGTCCACATCTTCTTCTTTAGTGGGGTGTCTCCAATCGCCCCAGAAAAGGTCACCGGTTATCCACGTGAGCTCACTGGGTCTTGGATCTACTTATAAAATAGAAAACCGAGCAAACAAAAAAAGAACATATTCGTCGGGTATTCACCCAGTTCCGGAATTTGAACATATAAACATCATGAACCCCCAAGACCAGGATTGCGGCGGGCTCCTTTTTTTCTCCCGGTAGCCTGAACCCATCTTGGCCATCCGATGTCCCCTCTGATCCTCAGTTGTTCAAGTCCCCAACATCCCGAAATTTTGAGGACCATCTCAGGCTCACCTCTCAGACCCATTTCCGCTGCCAGACGCTCTCCGCGCGGCGACACGCGCCGCGTGCGGACCGCGGAGCACGGCGGACTCCGCGGCTTCCGCGGCTTCCGCGGCTTCGGCGCGCCTGGTATTTCGCGGTGAACTTCTCCCTGAACTTCGGATGGCATTTCACCACCGTGTGCCGGTCGGTGAGCATCTCATGCACCCGCGTCACCGGAGCCTGCGGGACAACGGTGCGGGACTCGTGGTCGTGGTCTGCGAAGCAACGCCGGACTCGTGCGGTTTCGGGAGGGTCCGGGTCAGCGTTATCGGGAAAGAAGGCTTTTTCCCACAGTCCGCAAAGCGCCACTTCAGAAGGACCCAGAATGTGCTCATCATCCACATTTAGCTTGGACCATTGCTTGGTTCATATATAGGGTCGGTCTCTGGACCTCTCTGGGTTCACTGAACGTCTCTCGCTGGGGTGAACCCCTTCGGATGCCCCCGCCCCCCCCGGCCACCGGCTTTCCTGAGTCCCTGAGCCCAAGAAAGGCGACGTGAAGTGGCAGCAAGAAGAAAAAAAGAGACATCGATGGCCCAAAAAGCCGATTATAGCAGGGGCTTTGGGGTGTGTGAAGTGTCGCAAGTCTAGATGACTCAGTAGCACCGTCCCGTTCTAGATCGGTTGAGCCCTTCACACCTCTTGGCCGACGCAAGAATGGACGCTCGAGTCAGACGGACCCCTTCGGCCACGCAAAAAATCCACCCTCACTCTGAATGCCTATACCAGGACCCTCCGACAGATCACCAATTGAAACCTGTTAGGGTCCAACAACCCTCAACTAACAGCATCTAACAGCCTGTTGGAGGGTGCTGGTAGTGGACGCGTCGCGTCGCTCGGCCGTGCACCGCACCCGACTTCATGAGTCAGGAGGCCACTGAAGGAGCAACTGACTGAACACCCTTCCAAGAGAGGTGTTCTGCGGAGCAGTGCGATCGCAGCCTTTTGATTGAAGCGAAGCCAATGGCAGCCGAAGCGGTGGCCGACCATGAAAAATTCATCCCAATCCTGAATATCCATAGTTTTTTTAGCAGGACTGTACACGTAAAACAGTTTGTGATGTTTTGTGAAATGCATCAAGATTCGCACGCTCCAAACAGTCCGACCGGTCCCTCAAAACCGGAGTTGGTTCGGGTCCGCGCCCCGATCCCTGAACGCAGGGTCCAGACTTCGCGTCATGGGAAGATTCTCACCCTGTCCCAATTGGACTCAACAGACCCATGGGAAGATTCTCCCTGCTTGAGCGAACGCCTCATAGATGTTATGGATGTGTTCCAAGACCACCTCCACGACGTCCTGCCGGGCGTAAGCGGCCAGGGCGGTTTGTGGTCAGGAACCAAATGATGGAACAAGTATATAACAAGGAATATATTACGAACCTGGTTTGGGGGCCTCCAGGGTGGATATTTCCTGAGGAATCTCTATTGGGACATTCCCTTCCATGGAACGCCTCATTCCCTAAATGAGTGGCAAGTCCAACAAGTCCTGCAAGTCCAACAGCCTCTCAGTGACCATGCCCTTCAAGACCTTGTGAGGGTTAAAGCTTCCGGTCACACCATCATTGGAATGTCCGCTCTTGCTGTACATCTCCTCGGTTCAACGCGAGCAACTCATGTGGGTCGTGGCCCACCGGGAACCCGAACAGGTCCACCATTGGCCGCGACTGAGCGACACTGGTCAGCTAGTAACTGACCCACAGCCACCGGTCTCACGAGTGACCTGACCAGTGTGGAAGTGCTCTCGGCTTCTTTTTCGGCTCCAGTCCTACCTTCTTGGAAGGTGGGACTGGCTCTCGGCTCTCGGCTCTCCAGGAGGGTACCAGGTCATACCGAACCGTTGCGGAACGAAAACGGAGCCCTAAACGGTTCGAAACCGTGTTGGTCGAAACGGGTTTCGCCAACTCCTCAGCGGTTGGTCACTGGGCCGGACGACCGGTCGACGGGACGAAGCGATTGGATCGGTGACGAAGCTGCGCTGGTCATGTAGACTCTTGACTCTTAAACCCTCCCATATGAAGAAGATACTGAAGAAAATAAGATCTCTTCCAAGCAGGGGGAAGCTATTAATATCTATTAATCAAGAGTCTACATGACGTGTCCCAAGACATCTGCAAAGTTTCCAAGCCCGGACTTCGACGCTTGGATAAATTCGAATTCGTCCGCCAGCTGCTACAACCCAGACATTTTTCAGACTGTCTTCACCCGCTTTGATATAGGAATTTGACCAGATGTTGGGGTGATTTGACCAGATTTTGGGGTGGTTGCTGATCCAAAACAGAGTTCTAGGTCATCACGACCGCTCATCCCCGACCGCGATCCCCCGGTTAACATCCCATGGGCGGTCGTTCTTCGCCCTCCAACCACAGGTGCGGCCAGGCATCTTGCTTCGTGAGAGTTCGCATGGGGTACTGCATGATGACAAAGCCTCGGATTCAAAGCCAGAAGCCAGGAGAAGGCCAGGAAGGCAAGGAGAGGGCACCAGTCCCGGCACATGAATTTCATTGAATTTCGCATGCGCAACCAGGTTCAAGGTGACAAAATCCATTCGGGCGTTGCGATCAAGTGATCCGCGTATTCTTCTGCGGAACTGTACTGATTCTGCATGTTTGGAAGCTTGGAAGCAACTGTGTCGAGGAGGTGGCGAGCCAATTCAATACGCGTGGGTCAAGATTCTCAAGAAGGCGCAACAGGCACATCCCTAAAACAAACCAATGAGTCTTCAACCCAAAATGCCGATCATCTATACCTGGTGCTTCAGTTCGTGACCGAACTGGATTTTTCGGTTCATGACCGGTCGGTCACGACTTGGGCCCCCAAAGGGTGCGCGACCCAGGTCGGACCTCAAAGTTTGGTCATTCTGAAGATGCTGGCACATCTAACAATCAGATATAGAAGGTTCTTTTCTTCTTCCTTCTGGGATGTTGGGATTCTGGCACATCAGATATGCAGTTTCTGAGAGACATCACAGCAATCAGTCAGCTGCCTTCTCTCAGATATACCCTTCTTCGAGCAGGCAGCTGGAGACTTTCATGATGCGGTTGAAGGCAGCATGAGGCCGCAAACGCATATCCAGCATATTGCCTCGCTGAGCGAGCTGGACCAGAAATCTGCCATCGGTCGAATGGAAAAGATCTGCCCTGTCCAACTCCACAGGCCGGGTGGGCCAGACCAAGCCCAGCCCTATAGAAGCCCACAAAGCCCTTGGACACCGAAGTGGAGCACCTAAAGACCATAAATCAATGGTCTTGGACTCTATAGATACTGGTTCGTAAATAGTCTATCTACTCCCCATCAAAGTACGCGTGGCATCGAAAGCCTCTCTCTCTCTCGTTCTCTCCGTCCAAGCAAGCCACTGGTGACTGGGGACTGATCTGATCTACTTGTTTGCAACTTCACCAAAAAGACGAATTCTTAACTTCAAACTTGTGAGGAAGAAGGCTCAACAGATTTTCACCCTGGAACTACACTCTACGGTTGTTTTAAACAAATGGTCGGTCCCACTTTGCTGGTCAAACCCCAACACAATCTTCGGGTACTTCGAGGGCGCCAGAAATCATCTTGGGACTTCTAGGCTAACTTATCTAACTTCTAGGGTTCATATACTTCTTCAATACTTGTTCAACAGGAAGGGACAGGTTCCGTCGCAGAACATAGAAGTCCTCCTGCTCTGTCCGGTATTTGTCGCATGATCTCACCCACTTTCGCATGCAGTGTTTCCGTCCAAAGAGCCTCGGATGCTTCGAGAAAGGGCTTCAAGCACCGGACCCAGCTCGACCGACCGACCCAGCTCGACCCGCACCTGTGTAGGTGTCCTTGAGCTTCTCGCGCAAGTCCTGACGAGGGCCAAAGAATGGGGCCCAAAAAGCACATACCAGGGGTCACATGTCAGGGTGGTGTTTGGTCCCTAAGTGAGTGGATTTATGGACGCCCCTAATCTAATACATTCCAATATACCACCAGTCACCTTCGACGGGGTGTCGAAGTGGGGGAGGATATATAGGAGTGCCCCTGTCACATCCACGGCTGGATGGGATGAACAAAACCAAAGTCTTTATCGCCGTACGGTGACCCCCATTAATGGGGTCACGGTGCTTGTACCAGGAGTTCGAAAGTGGTGTTTAGAGTTCAGTCCCTGACTGAGTGGATGTTCTGGGCATTGCTCACCTCCATCACTATCATAGCACACAATTCCATGGAACTGCTGGTAGCAGGACCTGAGCCGTACGTGACCTCGAACTGGAGTCTCTGTTGTGAACGTAGTACTGAAGGTCTTGGTAGACCGTTGACGAAGAGAAATCTCCGAGTTCAAGAGCGCTTTACAATCCAACATGGTTTGGGGGTTTTGTTCATCAACGGTCTATACATGCATCTGTTTGTTTCGTGCGTCTTCTCGTCAGTTTGGCGGCCTGGCTCAATTCACTAGCCTATCCACTGAACCTATCTATTGGGCCCGGCCGGCCCTTCAGTCCCCAGTCGGCCCTTCGAGACTGAGTGCGCCGGTGTTTGGAACCCTTTCTAATCTGGGAAATGTTGGAACCAGTGAAGTTCTTCGCGTTTGTCACTGATCAAACCACCTACACCGTGACACTGAGTTGGATATACCCAAAAGACCAAAAGAACATGCGGTGCCCAAGCGCTGAAGCGCTTTCTCGTCGCTCCTGCGCTCTCCTGTCTGTCGCCGCCGAAACGTTCCCCACGCGCGCTGAAACGACGCGTCGTCGGGCCTCCAAGTCGGGGAAAAGCGATTGGTCCTTCAACTCGGCGCGGAGGCGTAGATAGGTCTCCACCCACTCCTGGCGTAGACGGCGTAGACAGGTCAGGTCGCCGCAGGCGGAAACGGGCGTCGACCAAACACAGGGCTAGGCGAGAAACGGTGGGGAAACCCAAGCGGGGCGACGGGCCAGAAACGAGAGGCGATGTGAGAAGACGCGAGGTACCAACAGAGAAAAGTGAGGTCTAGAGTCTATGCAGGATCCAAAAGGAAGGTCTTTGGGAGATCAGGGGCTCTCTCCTCAATCTAGTCCCGGCGAGAGTCTTCAGAGCTGTACATACTCTAGATCTTCCAACTCTGCAGGAGTTCTGCCTTTTTCATCCCAAAATGGCAGAAATCTTGAACAGTTGGACAATCTACTGAATCTTTTCTTAGGAGGGCCGCCACAGCTTTCCGCCAACCATACATTTGGGCCGGAGGCCGAGCGAGCTCGCGTTGTCGCTGGCACCGTTTTCGCGGCGTTCAAGGGTCCGGCTCAAGCGACGAACTTCAAAGGCACCCAACAAGGCCCGGTGCCACGGCAAAAGCCCACCCGAAACCAAACAGAAACATCATCCACCACCATCCAGTTCGGATGGTGATTAGATGGAAAATAGATCGTCGCATAGTCAGGGAAGCTCTACAAACCACTCTTTGGCTGGTGTTGGACCAAAACATGCAGGGCCCAAGACCTCCACGGCGCATCCAAACTCTCGCGGCTTCGAGCGCTCACCTCCCGCGTGGGAGAGAAAGACCGATCAACCTCTCCTCTTCGAAGGTGCGGCTCACCTCCTTCGTGTCGAAGGCCCAGACATATTGCTTCGAATAGCGGCTGTCCCTCAGGAGGTGAGGAATAGCGGCCCGACCAAGAAAACCACGGCTTCCGGACGAAATGCCGGACGTCGGTCCCCCGGGCGCGCATGAAGTGCAGAGAGGACCACGTCGAATCCACGGGTGTTTTTCTCACGAAGACAGAGAGGCTGGCGAAGAAACAGCGAGCGCCCTTTGGGCGAGGGGAAAGACGTTCAAGAAGCCCTGTTCCAAGGTTCGATTTGAAGACCCCTGGAACCCAGAACCCGATCTGACAGCAATTGAGGGGAGGGCCGCACTATATAAACCCATTCTGGTCAAGGTCTTGACCCTCGGGATGCCAAGAGAGGCTGAAGGATTCCATAAACAATCCCACAGGTACCCATTTGGACTGGAATATGTGCTGCCCCATTGACCCCTCATGGCCCACCCCAACTGATTGGTAAATATTAAATATGCAAGTCCCATCAGTCGTGCCTCCGTTCGCCTGGACCCTTAACCGCTGACCTCTCGATGGTGTGTTGGCCGAAAAGACCACCCTCGCGACGAAGAGTTCGCCGCAGGGCTCAGGGCGAGTCTCTTCCCCCGTCGGTGTCGAGCTGTTTTTTGGGATCATCCTTTTGCCAATTGTCGGACTGTGGAGCGCAAACTTTCATTGGTCCTAAAATTATCTAAAATTTACAGGCAACTGCCAAGAAAACTGTGGTTCAATTAATTAGGTTGTTTGTCAACTTTTGACAGGCTAGTGTATAGCAGCCAGGTGGCTGCCAAATGCTTTTTCAGTCGCAGGCATAGAAATCGATGAGGGGGGAACCAGGTCTTTTGAATATTTTTGACATCCCACCACGTTAACTCAAGGACAGCAAAGTATTTGCTTTCAAGATTCTGCTTCGGCTTGGATTGGCTACAGTTGTTGTCGCCCTCGAAGACCACCTTCATGGCATGCTGGAACTCGCTGTTGTACTCCTGGGCGGTCTCCAATGAAGCATGGTTCTTGGATGTTCTTGGCGGCCCCACAGACACACTTCAGCCATTGTTTTCCGCCGTGTCTGCTTTGAGCATCTTCATTCACCGTGGTACAGTACAGTAAACGGCACCTTCAAAGGGGTCACAAATTAAAAAACTCCTGCTCTACGTACAGGGATCTCCAAACAGGACGCCCCTTTTTCAGGTCCAGAACTTCTGGTAAATCTCTTCATTCGTTGCTTCATCTTCCTTCCCACGCAAGCTGAGCATGAAACTCAAACCACCTTGTATGGTCCGAGGTGGGTGATCCTACCGCTGTGCTTGGTGTGTCCAAAAGACTACGATTTCCCAGGACCCCCTGTGTTGGGATAACGAATGGACACCCCTTAACCTCGGGCCTATCGGCCTATCCATCGACAACCCCAAGCAGAGCGCTCGGTCGCACGGCTCACGGGTCCAGTCCTGGAGGGCCACACGGAGCTCTTCATCGCCCTGCGGGCCAAGAGCCTTTTCCAGCTTTTCCACTTCGCACAGCAAGTCCTCCTTCTTCCCCTTCCGCGCATCGCGAAAACGGGAGGGAAGGAGGGAGGGGAGGAGGGGAGGGAGGTCGCAAAGCCGCAAAGGGACACCAGGGAAGGGACACCAGGGGGAATGCACCACCCATTTCCAGAGGTGGAACGTGACCGTAACTAAGACCCGGAAAACCAGAGGTACCCAATTAGGAGAGGCGAACGAACTCGGGTTCTGCAAAAACCTCTGCTGGACTGGCTTTCGTTCGAACCCCAAACTGTTTGCCGCGAAAGGAGGTGTTTTTGTTCAGCGAGGGAGTCCGTTTGGTGATGACAAAAAACGGGTCGTCCAAGGGACCTTCCACGCTCCACTTCCATGGTGATGATGGTCACGGTATGAGTGTCACAGTATGAGTGTCACTGCTTCGTCTGCGAGTGACTCGAGAGTGCTTGGAGACGACTCTACATTGGCCCCTATTGACTTCCGGAAAGACCATCAAACAAATGGGAACGACCTGGTGTTTGTGGTGTAAAATCCTGGTCGTTGATTCGGAACGCCTATTAAATGAATGGTGGGCCAGGAAGCCATGGGGTTTGGTTGCAGCCTCACCTTTCATGTCCGGGCACCAGTCCACACAAAACCATGATGAGATCACATCCGTCCGGTCAGATCACATACATGTGAGCGGTGTTCAAATCCAAAGTAAGATTCCTTTCTACCAACTCTTTCGCAGCTTACGCAGCACTGGAAGCGACTGCAGTTTTAGCTGTTGCACGGAAGGTGTAATTGAAAAACACAAAGCTTGCGGCGCTGACGCGGCGGATTGGTTCTATAAATGCAAATGTTTGCAACCTTTTTCACCAAACATCGTAGGCTCTCAAGCAGTAGGAAAATACTCTTTCGCAGAGCTTGCGCGACATTACTTCTCAAGGACTCTTTCGCTCAATGCTTTCGCAAGCTTTCGCAATCCTCAGTTTTTCTTTCGCAAAGACGACGTTAGTTTCATTGCCCCTATTCATTCTTTACTTGGGAGTTCTGGACGCAGAAAACATGTGACTCATGTCGCTCAATATCTGCTAAGCACATAATGAGCAACAACACCAAAATCCCGAAGATCATCCGTCATCCACTCGGCTCGGCCTTCAAGATGCTCAAGACCGTCTTGCGATTCTCCTCCATCCAACTCGACCTCGCTTCGACCCGGAGCGACTGGCGGGCCTCGTCTGGGCCTTCGTCTCAGCGATGTTGTTGAGTGTCGTAGGCCCTGTGGAGACATGGAACTATTCAAGAGACTTGGAAAATCGCACTGTACCACATGTCAAGTCTCCCAAAAGCCTCCTTTGGAGACCTGTAGAGTCGGCTGCTTAGTACAAACTCCTTCATGGCATGTGAACGATGATCGAGTGTTCAGTGCTGGGCGGCGGCCATTTGAACATAGGGCGGAGACAACAAATAGCACCTTTGAGAAACACCAGTCAGACAGAAATCATCTCAGTTCCATGTTCAAAAATAGACGCCACGTGCCAAACCAAGCAAAACATGCTCCACCCCGTTTCTGGAAGCATCCAAGAGGAGCCCTTACAAAAGGGGCGGGGTTTTCTCTTCACTTCACCCGGCCGCACCGACGGTCGCGCCCCACCCACGCCCGCTCTCAGGTCCAGACAACTTCTGTTGCATGGCATCCAAGGCAGCGTTCACCCCCAGAGACGTCCAAACCTCATGCTCCACCTGACCCCAAAACCGCCGTTGTGGGTCGTTGCAGCCGCAGCACAGGTGGCCCAGTGCGGGCGGGTCAACGACACCGAGGGTGCTGGGCGCGTAGCGTCCGAGGTGGAGTTTGGAGAGGCACCCGAGGCACCCTACGTACATGGTATACCAGGGGCCCCCGGGCCAGGGGTGTCTAATGATCATATAGCTCCGAACGGAGGTATCCAGCAGTATCCATTAACCACCCGATTTCCATGCGATGGATTTCCATGGCAAAATGAGTTCGGTGATTTGGGGCCATCGGCGAGCTGCTCGCCTGCTTCAAATGAACCAAAAGAATCACCAAAGATCACCTCTTCTACTTCTGGACCTCCTCCCCCGTGCCCCACGCGCTCTGGCCAAACCCAAAGACTGGCCAAAGGGGCAGTCTACCCCTTGAAATTCACCAAACAAGACCCACTAGACCGACGGATGGTTGGGAATCCCCACTGGTCACCATTGTAAAAGCTCGTGTAGTCGTGACATGTTGTGACAGCTCAGGGGCCGTTTCAGGTGTTCTGCCCCTCAAATCCGGGCCGTCCTGGTCCAGTCCCCGCCTTGAGGCCATCCTGATCCTTCGCTTCCAACTCACTGATCTGCTTTTGATAGGTGGCCTTTTCCTTCTCTCCCAAGGTGCCTTGCTCCACGAGGTGCCAAGCTCAGGTAAATGTTCAGGCCCTTTCTTGAAAGGCTTGTTCAATCAGAAATAGATGCTTGGGAATGCTTGTGGCTTGAAGCATCGGTGGTGCAAACAAAGAGGTTCTTGGTCATATACAGTATTTACATTATATAGTGCAGTGCTGTATTTTGGAAGATCTTAAGGTAATTAATCAAACGGGGCTTCAAGGGGTGTAGCCTGGTTTTGAATAGGGACTTTAAAAAGAATGTTGATCAGAAGGTTCTGGAGTTTGGTGGGTCTAAGTCATGTGTTAAAGAGGGAAGGATGCAAGACGGAATCCAAAGAAGGAATCAATTAACAGAGAATTGAAGCAGTTTGTTTAAAGTGCAAATTGGGGAGATCCAGGTCCAGGGGTAAAAACGTTTAGTTTTTTAGGGGAGGTTTATTGTTTAGTTTTTTGGGTTTGCGTAGTTTTATTCACGGGAGGTTTATTAATCATAGGTTGACATGAGTCATTGTAACTTGACACCGCTCGATGTAGTACCAACCGTGTAGTACCGCTCAATGTTTTGAAAAGGAAAACCAGCTGCAACCATTCAATTGGAAGAAATGTGCCTATGATTTTATGGTTGCGGGTATTTCTTCCTTTCAATCTGGCTTCCTGCAATTTTCAATCAACCCAGCAAGTGGAAGATCGACTATTCTTTTTTTCGACCAATTTCTTCCAACATACAGCACTCCACTATAATCCTTTACATCCTTCAAAACAACTTGATGGTTACAACCGAAAGCTGACATGGACCGCGTTCCTCCACTGGGTTTCAGAATCTTTCAGGGCGTAACTCAAGTAGTTTACTGCTACCTACTGCTACTACACCGTTTCGTCCTCTGTGCAGGGTGCTGTAGTACCTGTAGAGCTCCTCAAAGTTCATGTTCTCCTTGTTGATGCCGTCTTCATAGTGAAGCATCACAAAGTAGGCCTCCTTGAACTTTTTCAAGTAGCCACGGCAGTATGTGTTCAACTCCTCAGAGCTCGAGTACGACGAGCAACGTCCAGCCAAGCATCCGAAGAAAAAGGTCGTTTCTCCAAACCCAAACGTGGAACCCCAGATGAAGCACTGCTGGAGGATGCTAAATCCTCCAAACCGTGAGCTCCAAAGGGTTACCATTAGCAAGACTGTTGTGAAGGTGTGAATCCTCTTCCAATGCTGTGTGTTCAATGTATCGAGGCCCCAAAACAAATAGAAACAATGCCCACATACATGTTGAAAGGGATGTTACTCTTCTATCATCTTCTTTCCATTTGGGGGTCGAAAGGGTTTTGACTCTTCTATCATCTTCTATCTGGGGGTCGCTATAAAACAAACTCCCTTCTTTGCTTGGAAAACAAAGGCCTCACAAATGCCCCACCCACTGCGATCTCCCGCTTGGGCTCCTGTGGTTCGATGGTTAGACCCTGGCACCCACCCTAACCACCGAGGTTAGAACCGGAAGTAGGCCAGGAGCCGTAGGGTCTGTTTGCGACATGGCAGTACTACGCCGAAGGGGCCGAGACTGATGTGAGGTCCGGCAGCTGCTTGTTGAAGTAGTTGATCACCTGGGGTCAATGAGGTCCAGGTCAGACCACCCAAGTTCTGGCCAGGTAATACCCCCTAACAATCCATGTTTGTATGGAATATATGCAGAAACAGTTGGGATGATTTTAAGACGTCTTTTGGTGCTCTATCAAAACACACGCACATACATGAATCTCAGTGCGGACCTTGAAGGTCTCTGGTTTCTTATGTCTCTGTGCCTCTTGGTGATTTTCCCTGGGAAGCTTTTGCGTAAGTACTCTCCTTTTCGCGGCCTTTTCGAAGGCGGGGCAGTTCCGGTTGGGAAAGATCTGCTCTGGATCAGTCCGGTCATCTCCAGATCAGCATCTTTTTGGGATCAGCATCTTTTTGTCACAGCTGGACCATGCTTGAATGGACCATGCTGGACCATGCGAGGTCCAATACATCTGGATACATGCTGGATTGCAGGCTGCGCTTGACTGAACGATCCATTCTCGTTTGGGGCCCACCGGGTAACACCTCCTTCGGTGTCGCGTCACATGGATGGTGGTGGCGAAGCGGCTCCGGGCGGCCCAGGGCAGCGATGCCAAACAAAATGGAACTCCATACAGGGGACGGTACGCCATACAAGGGAGCATCACGGTCACATTGCTGTCCAAAAAAACATACACATATTATATACACATCTATATGCATTCATCTATACAGTCTTATTTTCTAATAAACCTGGAAACCATCAGAAGGCGGTTCCCATCAGCAACGAACACTCAAAGGACACGGAAAAAGCGTTCACTTCCCAAAGGATGAGACTCATCATGCAACATCTCACTAGCTTTCCCTTCCATATCCCTTTTCATTTCAGGTAATGGGCAGGCTGGGGTCCCAACCCTCCCTCCCACACCAAAAGAAACGCAAAAGAAAAGTCTGTTGAAGCTCTCGCTTGAGTGCTACCAAGGCTTTCTTCGGCTGCAAGCCACAATCTTCCAAGGCCGCATAATCCAGCTGGGTCTCTTCATTCTTCTCGGCCTGAACAAGTCGTCACAGAGTGAGGTCCCAGAACTACGGTCACATCCGAATGTCTTCAAGCAAGGACCTTTTCGGTTGACAATGCAAAATTCCGGATTTTGGGAGAGACTGTTAGTTAGCTTCCCTTCTTCAGACTTATAGTGGCCCAAGATCAGCAGCCCAAAGAGTGGCCCGAAAGACGCTTTCGAGTTCATGAAGTACGAAAGCATGTCTCCAACACACTCACCCAAACTGGGCTCCAGTCGTACCTCCTCTGACTGGAACCTCCTAGGCACCCACCCGAGTCCCACCTTCGAAACGAAGGTATGACTGGAGGAGCCCAAGGGGTCATCGAATTTCTCGCACTCTTTCGATTGAGACTGCACCCGATCATCGATCCATCCGACTCCGCTGCAAACTGCAGGCGGAATCTGAACGGAAAGCGCTCCGTCTTCCGGCGTGTTCCGCTCGGAATACCCCGGGCGCCGTGAACTCTCCAGATCCCCTCGCTGCTACAGAATGGGTGGTCTTCATCTGAAGAGTCCAAGTCTACAGTATATATAGAATGGCATCAAACCCAACTCTGGGTAGTGGGAAGGAGTTTGTTTTGCATTGTTTTGCTATTTATTTGGGGTGTGTGTTTCGTCTTGTTCATTCCTAAGCACCCTGTTTGGTTCCATTCACATCACTTCAGAGGTCTGAAGCTACCCACCAGCACCCTTTGGCCAGGGAGGTCTGAAGCTCTCCCTCGTGGCCACTCGGTGCTTTCAGCATCAAGTCGACTCCCTCACAAAAGCAATCAAGTACTCCGGGTAGATCGCAGCTCCTGGGCGACAGGTGGCCGGGGCGCACCTTTGACTTAATGATCCAGTCTGCAACATTGACCCGCAACAAAAAGCAGAAACTGCTCGACTTTTGGTGGAGGTCCTTGGGCTGTTCTTTCTTCAGAGGAGCAGGAATTGCTCTCTTTCGGGGTCCGCGGAGTCCATCTAAGTCGTTCAGCATTCTGGTCGTTCTTCAGCTCGGACCTCTATTGAGTGGACTTGGGTAGGTTTCGTTCGTCCCATCCAGCACCCGCACCGGTACCCCGAGCGAATGATGACTCCTGGCTCCAATTCATCTACACTCCTATTCTCACTCAGATGGAAATGGAGTTCACCACCTGTTTGTAGAGGCTTTCATGGTCTTCACAGCGGGCCATGCGGAACCACTTACCATGTGATGTGTTCGTCAGAGTGTAGTTCCTCCTCCCGCGCTCCTTTGAAGGACACGAACTCTCTGAAGCGCATCACGCAGCGCCCCAGCGGTCCCTCGCTGGCCAAATTCACCAGCAGCGTCTGGTAGCGCACGGAGGGTGTGATGCCCGGGATGGAGACCAACTGTTTCAGGTCGCCATTCACGAAGATCTCTTGGCCTTGGCTTTGGCTTGGCTTTGAGAGGGGATGAAAGACAGCAAACATAAGACATGGCGGGCCCTACACATTGATGCGTTTTCGAGGGCTTCCGTGCCAAAACATTTGGCATCCAAAACTTGAAGCGGCCAAAATCAAAGAACAACTTAACTTAGATTGCTATGCACATCCCAGTGGTCCGCTCGCGGCGTCCTTGGTTGGGGCGCTGCGGTCCAAACCTTTGGTTTCGATGCAAGCGCCACAAACGACTCGGGCCACCACGCAATAGAAGACATCTCCATCGGGATGTGAGTTCCTGCAATGTCTGGGCTGGAAGAGTGCCATTGCCGTGATTTTCGAGGGTGTGGGGATGTGCGGACTTATCGGTTGTTGAAGAGTGACATGAACAGGTACTCGCGTGCAGGATCATGTCACCTGTGGGAACTTCAAAGTGATCATAGCCTTCAAGATAGTTCAATTGCCAATGTTCCTTTTTCAGAAGCGCATGTGAGCCATGTCATCATGTCACCCCCGGGAGCGTCAATGTGATCATGGCATTCAGGATTCTATGTCCACTTGCCAATGTTCCTTTTGAGAAGTCTATGTCCGCTTCCCTCAAGTGCACTTCGGACATCTGAAAGAGCAGAACAAAATCCAATTTGAATCCCAAGGTTCCCGTCAGTGTAGAGGCGAGAGTGAAGCTCTTCAAGACCAGGGGCATTGTGATGTGGGTCAGGGCGAACGTACTGGTCAATCTTCTCCGGGTCTTCTGCAAAGTAACATCCCGCTCCGAACATTCCCTTCCTTCGACGATTCGATGTGCGAGTGGCAAAACATAGTATGGAAAACAGTTGAAGAAATGACATGCACCAACATTTCCGTGGATGATGATGGTTTGGTGAAAGACCTGCTGCTGAAAACGTCACTCATTGTTGAACATGACTGACGTGTCGAAAAAAGTATCAAAAGAAAAGAGAAACGGTCCGAACAGCACTTCCCCTATGGATCCACATACCTTCTCAGAAGGTAATTGGCCCCCCCAAGCCTAATTACATCAATAGTCTCCTTCCTCACCGTACGAGTACCTCAGGTTCGGTATGTGGATCCATAGGGTTCGTCAGGTGTCTTCGTCACCCGGTCATCGAAGCCATTGTGGAGGATATCCAAGAGCACTTCGGGGCTGCATCCGTGCAGCAAGAACCGCTCACCGGCTTCATGCACGTACGTAGCGCCGGGCAAATTCTTGGAGACGTCCTGAGGATCACGAGCCAGCCTAAAGCGAGAACGTAAACAGCGTGGGGAGCTGGGTGGAAGTTTGTGAGTGACTCAAGCCGAACCTGGCAAAGAAGCCAGGAGAGGCAACAAACTGGGAAAAATCGAGGAAAAGCTTTGATCAACTTGCGCAAACCATTCTCAAATTCAATACTTTGTTGGTTCGTTGGCTCTATCTTCATTGATGAATGCTTACGGTTTTCGGAGTTTTTCAGGCCAAGCGTATGAACTACCTCGTAGACATACCCTACCAGTTATGCACTTGTTCAAAAGAGAGACTTCAGCCAGAACCAAAAAGCTTAACCCTCCAAAGTAGCCTAGCAAATGGAACCTGAACCCAAAAAACCATGGAAACAACTCTCAGGTACGAACTACACGTCGACCCCAGGCACACACGGCATCAAGGGCATCGCTCGCGGTCCCCCACCGCCGACCTCTGGCTATATCTCGGCCGCGTCGAGCGATATCTCTGGTCCAAGCTTCCTGAATCTTGCTCTGCCACGGCGGCACCGGCATTCCTTTCTCTCGGAGTCGTCTCAGGGTCTTCTGCGCCTTCGATCGTTCAACCACATAGGACTCCCAGCAATCCTGGTGCTCGACGCGCCACGCACAATGCACCCGCAGGGCGTTGTACTTCCGGGGATAGCCTTGGCGTGACTCGGCTCCCAAGGAGCCACAAAAGATGGTACAAGACATATACCTGGACCTTCAAGGGGTGTCCAATGGAGGTCCCTTAATAGTGTAGGGGCTTCCAGTGGAGATCCCTTTGAAGGTGCTGGTAGATTCGTTCAATGGGAAAAATAAATATACCCAACAAAAGCATGGGAAAGAGGACATTGGGGGAAAGAAAAATCTGGGTCCCAATTTGGGGCTTCACCCGGGAACCGGGAAGAAGACACATCCATCCTCATCCCCTTTCTTTCGCCACAACCCAGTGGCTGTCGGCGTCTCGACCCTTGCCCAGTTCACCAGGCTGGTCCACGACGAACATCTTCCTGCGGTGAAGGGACCAGAGAAATGGATTTCGTCTGTACTCCTGAAGGTAGGGGATCAACGCATGGGTTGCTTCATCTAGACTTATCTAATCCATCTCAAATCCTATAGGACGCCGCCTCGCCCATCGATTTAAGGGGTTTGGACTAACCGAACAACCATGTAGCTTGACTTATAAGGACTTTGTGACACAGACTGGTCTAAACGGTCTTGGAAGGCTAGGATAACACACCGTGGTAAAAACAAAAAATATATATATATATAGAAAATTATACATCAAACACGCAACTCCATGAACCCCTGGCAACAACAAACAAACAAACAAGTCCCTGCAATTGAATTCCTCCGCTCTAGCTTCTCAGCTCCTGAGAGTGTTCAAAGTGTCGCCCGTCACAGGGCAGGCCGTCCAGCCCTCCTCACCTGGGATTTGCTTAAGGAACCTAGAAAAAGTGTATATCTTAAAGATTATATATTCCTAATATTCACCAGGTATGGGGACTTTAACCATAGGGAAAACAAAAGAATTACCTGAACACCCACAAAACCCAGGTCGCTGATGTGGCCGGACCAGTAGGTCGGATTCTCCTTGGGACATTCCCTCTGCGGAGCGGCGAGCAGGATCTGCTGCCCCAACCGCTGGATTTCTTCGTAGTCGCTGTGGGCGGCCAAGGTGCGCTCCACCTGGGATGATCTCATCGTGAAAGCACACCAGGAGTCACAGAGCTCAGGGTGTGTGTGAAACGTCCCCAAGTCAGTGAGTGGATGTGTAGCTGGACACCCCTAAGCCTAACCTCCATGGATCGCACCCCGTCGAAGGTGACTGCTGGCAGAGAGGTACGAAAAGCTGGTCCTTTAAATCTATACCCTCCTGGCCTATATATCCTCCGGTTCGGTGGTTATAGACCCCCTTTGGCACCAACCCCTGTCCCATGGAAACGGAGGTAGAAACGGAGCCCAAACGGGATAGATATGGTTTCCAGAACGAAAGGGAGTGTGTGTCTCTCTCTCTCGTCGCCCAAGTGACAGACTCGATCGTCTCTGCTGGCAGCTCCTCTGGAGCCGCCTTGGCCAGCTCAGCCAGCGCGCTGAAGACCTTCCGAATCGTCCTTGAGCTGTCGTCATCGTTCAGCGCCTCTCTCAGCAGCGCCGGCACTCCAGCTTGCACCACGCGCCTCACGCGCTCCGCGCGTCCAGCATCTTCTCCGCAGAACAGCGTGCCCAGTGCTCCGAGGGCCGCGCGCTTGGCCTTCGCCTGGGGTCGGCGGATCTTCAAGGCCGGTCGGGATCAGCTTCCCATGCGGAACTGAGGAAGCGCAGAATGGGGAGGGGAGGGGCAGTAGACTGGCAAATGACCAATGTGTAGAC